TTTAGTAGACAAGAGTGTTAGTACTGATGGAAGACTGTAATGCTGACTGGCGGAGGCGTCCTTTGTTTCTAGCTTCGAGTTACGATTTGCTCAATGGGTGTGTTGGTAGTGGTTTGTACACTATGTAGATGCTGGTTTGTTGCAAGCGACTTTCCTACCGTCATGTTAGGTTAGGAACAAAGTCGAGGGGCTGATCTAACTGTGTCGACCTAAGATGAACTGTCATAGCAGCAAGACTGGCAAGATGCTAGATCGTTGTATGAAGCATAATGATGTGTTGTCCGTATTAATATTTTGTCATGGCCTGAATGCACACTATTAAACATCCTTAGTATCAGCCATTATGATATAGGCTTGCTTAGTCATTATTGTTGGATGAGTAAGTGTCGGGTTATTTGTTTTCTATTTTTCAATCTCATGTACTAACGATATCTATTTGCTTATTTAAATATGGAAAAAATGAACAAGTATATTAATACCAATGGATAAAATTTGATTGTTTTTTATATGCATATGTGTTTATAAAAAAATAATACATATTTTCACACTATCTATTTATGTACAAACCATAAAAAATCTATTTGTGTACAAACCATAAAAACTATACATACCTTTGATTTTTTTTATATAAGATCTTTTATGTTGATGTGCTTTTCATTTTCCTATTTATTACCTTTTTTTTTTTTTTTTTTCATATAACATCTTTTGTGTTTAATATGCTTTTCATTTTGTTGTTTGTGTTCCTTATAACTGTGATTTTAAGAGAACATAAAAAACATTTAAAGCAAATTATATATAAAGAGATTTTTAGTGATTAAAAGACATTTTGATCTTCTTACTTCTTATCCACTATATAACCAAATTGATGAAGAGTATATGTAGAGAAGCTTGAACAAAAGAGGCAAATCCTTATGGACTTTCAATTTAACAAGGAATATGACAAATTTATAAAGGAAATTTCTAAAAAAGAAAGTAAATTCTTTTTGGAAGAAGGTAGATCTATAAATATCGTTTGAGGAGGTATGGTTTCAACCTCGGGTAAAAATGAATGTTTTTTCGAGGTCCCGCGGATGACGCGAACGATGCGAATTGGTTCTCTAAGGCATGTTCATCAAAAGTATTATTGTAACGTCCCAAAAACCCAGAACCAAAAATTTTGTTTTTATACTAAATAAACATCAACCAAACGTGATAATCAAACCCATAAGAAATTCATAGTGTATCAATAATCATCCATAATACATCAGAGTGAATAAAACAGAAAAATCATGGTGTGTGCGATGCGATCATTCCGAGCTCTTCCCCTTCGAATTGCAAGTATCTGAAACATAAACTGAAAATCGTAAGCTCAAGCCTTAGTGAGTTCCCCAAAATACCATATACCATACATACAATCCCCCCCCTGCTCATCAGGCCCCGCCCGGTATACATACAAGCACATATAATACATGCAAGAGTCATAAAGACAGGTAGCCTACTATAACATAATCCAATTGGCCGACATTGGTGCCTTCGGCCTGCAAGTACTATGAGAAGACTCACCCCAATCCATTGATAAATAGATAATATTCGAGGTGCTGATATGAAGGCTCCTCACACTAAATACATACAAGTTACCTTATTTGGCAATTAAGGCATCCAATCATTATCAATGGCCTAAATAATCAACCTTCCGTCCCTTAGGGTAAAAGACAATTTTACCCTGTTGAAGTCTAGACCTTACCAAACATGCCCTAAAGCCTAAAAATGACCATAATCAATCTCGGTCAACGAGTCAAGTCACTAGATCCATCAATAATTCGAACATCAAGTCTTACTTCGTAACCACACCTTGGATAAGAGTAACCTGATATGATTCCAGTGACTCACTCCTGACTCAGACAGCTCAACATGGGCGGGTTTTTCATCCTCACATCGTGAGACATCATGTCTCACATTCTGAGAATGGTCTGAAGCCAAATCCAAGGTTACAACATTCTTAATCCGTTTAACCTTCAAACCCAATACTTACAGAAGCTTAATGGACACTAAAGATCCATAAAAATGTTTGCTTTATGGACATGCATGCACCATTCATGTCCCTACACCATTCTTGGTCGAGAGTAGAAATATGGCCTCAAGTTGTCATGCATGCTACTAGTAATTCACCAACTCCTATACCTGGATCATATGATACTCAAAAGAAAACTCGAATCCATAAAGTTGCTCACTTTGAGGATCGTCTTCACTCCAACTAGTTAGAACCTAAGGAAATAGGACCAAAAGTATTGATCTAGCCATGAGAATAAATAAAGTTTAAGTCTTGGCACTTACAAGGGTCCAATAGGAAAAAGAGCTGATGATACTGATGCTTCCTTGAAACTCCACCACAATGATACTTCTTTCTCTTATTTTCTTCTTCTTCAAGCAAGCAAAACACCAAGAATAACCAAGAATCTCAAACAGGGTCAAAAGGAGTGTTTCTAGGAGGCTAGAGGGTGAGAGGGGTTGAGGATAGGCAACCCTAGCCTCTCAATCCATTAAATACTTGAACATTAGGGTTTTAGATCATCAGTTCATACTCACGTTGTGAGAATCTAAAGATGCAGGTCCACTGGTCAGCAATCACTCACAACGTGACTACCATATCTCATGTCGTGACACTCTTCCAAAAGTTACAAATTCAAGAAATTAAGTACCTCAGGGATCTGGATGTTACAATTCCTTCCCACTTGAATCACACTTCTTCGTTGAAGTCTTCCAACTCAAACAAAATAGGGTAATGTTCTCTCATCTCATCCTTCAGCTCCCACGTCAATTCTAAATTTTTAACAGACTTCAACAGTCTAAGCCTATTAAAAATATAACTTTTAAAATAAAATCAAAATTAACCGATAGATTCTAAATAAAAGTTGTAGATCTCATCGATAGCTATGTGTGAATATAAAACCCATCGAAAACAGAGCTTGTATGGAAAATATATGAATTTTTCTAAGAAATACAACCCCCCCTTTGAATCCACCCACACATACAACTTGCATAATGTGTATTGTCACTCCACCCAAAATGCGACACGTGGCACCACCGATGAACACCATGTCATCATGTTCGACCAAATGCACGGATTACACCTTTTTCAAGCATATATAAACCCTCTAAAATCAGTTCATTTCGCACACTTGTCAATAGAATCTCTGGAACTTCTTCTAGCTTTTATACCTTTTAGGAAAAGGTTTTATAGCCACTTCAGCGTCGCCTTTATATCTCAAATAGCTGGCAAATAGAAGCTCCCAGATCAGAGTTTTGGCCACATTATTCCCAATTTTCATCAGAATACTCTGTAAGTTAAGCTAAACTTATTTTGTTCAAGTGTAATGTTTAATTATCGTCATAGTCATTATTATGATCCTATAAATAAGATTTATAAATGATTCTAAGTCATTATACTAATTTATCTACTTACGATGATAATGTCTAGGCTAGATTTAGTGAGGTGTTTAAAGTGGGCTTTCCAAATAGTATACTTTGTATACCAAAGAAACCCTACCTATGATATGATCCTACCTGGTTGTTCCTTACTTGATATATCTTGATGTAGACATTAGGGTTAGTGAAGAATCTAGACTATCATTAGTCATAAGAAATGACAAACTAAGACTTAGTGCTAATTGAACCTTGGTCAGGTCAGAAGAAAAGATAAAGTACCAAGGTGAAGTTCTACCAAAATTCCGAGGCATCCAATTTTATCAGGTGAGTGCAGAGTTATTTTAATATTACATATAGATATGAAGTATCTATATAAATTGCATGCTTTATGTGTGTATTATCTGTGACGAAAATGTTATGTGTTAGATAAAATAATATGAGATTATATTTAAATTGATCTGATCATATAAGTATTATAAACTTACAAATATGTATTGGGTAGTGATAGGGATGGTAAATAGGTGATGATAGATAAGTGATGGTAGATAGGTAATGTTAAATAGGAGATGATAAATAAGGGATGACTAGGAGATGCACTGACCTTGACTTGTGATGTGGCGATGTAGTCATCTACTAGAGTATAGATGGAGACCATTGACCAATCTAAACAAATCACGTGGAAACACCAACAGGCTCATGACATGTAGGCGATGAATTATGAGTCCAGGACACATTGTAACTACATATTAATGAGATGATACTCTAACCCTTATTGGACACGTATTGGGGGAGTAATACCTAAAACAGTATTGTCAATGTGGTGTAGGTGATGATCATTAGGAAAAGTCTTTAGCAACAAACATATAAGTAAATGTGATGCTGGAGATCATAGGTAAATACGATGTAGGTGATGACCCTTAGGATAATTCCTTATGAAGGAATATATAAGATAACAGGGATGGGTAATCGGGTTAATTTCTTGACAAGAAAAATGTGAATAAACAAATTAATTACATTATTGTGGGTTGAGAACCCTATGTATCTTACTAGGTTTCCTAACCCGACCCACTCAGTTTATTGGTATCATAGGTATCAACGTGAAGATACATTACATTAAGAGATTAAAGGAGATGTAGATCATTAGTGTAAATTAATGTAAGGTAAGTTTATGCTTATGTTTTTTTTATAATCTACAACATCCCAAGTGTACAAAAGATATCAATATCGAACGTTTCCTTGGAAATGTTTAACGTTAATATTATCTCACATCGAAATAATATTTTTGGGACCAATTATGCAACAAAAGAAATACTTTATCTAAAAATAAGCATAAATAAATTTTAAAAAATGACCGTATATTTGGGGTTGTCACATACATACTTGTCAATTAAAACCTAATTTGATTTTAAAGGTTATCTGCTTTGAGTTGCTCTGTCATGCCTCTTTGGTTGTGCCCACCTATTGTTTTATTCTAGTATATTTTTTTTTGTATTTGTAATAATGGGTCATGGTATTCTTTTTAGTGTAAGGAATGAAGTTCTATTGAGGATCTTCCTGATTCCAGAAAAAATGGAAAAATGAGTTAATCTGGTTGAATGCTTCTTGCTTCCCTTATCGGAATGAGTTTCATCTTCCTGGTATGATTGATGATCAAAATCCTAACATGACTAATATTTGGGTCAGGATATAGATAAGATTTCTTCTTTCAATGTGATGATGAAGACATTTCATGAAGCTGTGTTAGGATAGGTTAGCATGAGTCCGTATTGGTTGCACCTTGGCGTTGCTCCCACTTTGTTTGTCTATGGTCCATGTATTTTGATTTTACATGTATTTCTCCTTCTTGCTTTCCATATGTGTACTCACCTTATGTTACTTTTGTTTAGATGGAGATCGATTACCATCCTTTTTTTTATGATTTTGTGGATGATAAGATTGCGGCATGCGATCTTAGCTCTGATCACTTTGACCTTCCTCCTATCGATGATATTTTACTTATAGTGTGTTAGTAATACTCAAGATGAGGAAAAAGGGGATTCTAAATCATTAGTTAAGGCTCATGACTCCAACGATGATACGACTAGTGATCATACTCCACTTGCCTCGACTGGTCCTTTGGCAGTTTCCGACGATGATAATGGTAGAAACAATTAGTTTTTCATAAGAGAAGGAGCGATTCCATTACCTTGGCCGCTTTAGCAGCTGTTATTGCTAGTGATGAAGGGAGTAGTGGTAGAGTTCTCAAGAGGTCCCACTCCCTGGATCCTTGGGCTTTCTCTTTATTTTCCAGTAGCCTTAGTGTGGGTTGTCCTTCTATATATTTTACTCAGTTGAATGCAAACAGTACTCTACATGATGCTAATGTTCCTAATCCGTCTGAACCTATTTATGTTTTGTCTTTGGAGTATTGGTGAGAGAAAAGTTTATTGGAGCCTAAGATTACGGTTTTCTTTATTTTTTTCTTTTTTTTTTAAAAATTTTTTGCTTCCCCTAGCACTTGTTCAAATGTCAGACAAGGCCACAGAGAGAATAGCCAAGATATGTTCAAGATTAAACTTGTTAGGAATATGGTTTTAGGTCAGGAAGTTATCTCATGGTTAGACGAAAATGAGACCTTGCATCTAGAAAATTATGGCCTTCATGATGAATTTAAAAAGGTATATGAACTTGTAAAATCGTTTGTGGTTCTTTCTGGTGGTGTTTCCTATAATGTCCAATCGTTTCATGACCAATATGTGAAGCTTTTATATAGTGTTGTTGAGTTAGAGAAAGTATCTCTAGGTGCTGATATGGTTTCTCAAGTCGAGATGGACAACATAAGGGTGAACTGTCCTCTATGCAAAATGAAAAGGTTCTTTTGGAGAGTAAACTGACTAGTTATTAGGATGAAGTTTCAACTCTAAAGGCTAAAGTAGCAACCCTTGATTTGAAAAAATCTGGTTTGATGAACAAAATAGCTATGCTGGAGCGTGCTGTTTAAAGTTTAAAGGGTGACTTGAATAACTCTTCTCTCTGAAACTCAGATTTAGAGGCAAGTGTAGTTGGACTGGAGAGCAAGTTACACAAACTGATGGGGATATGTCGTGGGTGTTATTGTGTGGGATCTCGAAGTGGGTAGATAAACTCATTGCGGAGTCATCTGTTTTTGGGCTAAGCACGTAGCCTAGGTTGGAGTTTTGAACTTCGACCTTTAGGAAGATGTAGTCGTCTAACCGAGCTACATTATTTAGGAAAAATAAAGATATTCCTTGGATAAGAAGGTAGCCTAGGTTGGAGTTTTGGACTTTGACCTTTAGAAATATGTAGTCGGCTGACCAAGCTGCATTATTTAAAAAGACTAAAGATATTGCCTAGGTCTGAGTTTTTATCTTCAACCTTTAGAAAGATATAGTTGGATGGCCGAGCTACATTATTTAAGAAGAATAAAGATATTCTTAGTCTTAGCAGGTAGCCTAGGTCAACGTTTTGAACTTTAGCCTTTAGAAATATGTATTCGGCTTCCCGAGCTACATTATTTAAAAAGAACAAAGATATTCTTGGGCTATGCAGGTAGCCTAGGTCGGAGTTCTGAAATTCAACCTTTAAAAAGATGTAGTCAGCTAGCCAAGCTCCATTATTTAAGAAGAATAAATATATTCTTAGGCTAAGCAGGTAGCATAGATCGTAGTTTTGAACTTTTACCTTTAAAAATATGTAGTCGGATGACCGAGCTAAATTATTTTTAAAAATATAAAGATATTATCGGTTTCTCATGATTGTATTCATTTTTATTTATTGTGAAACGACAATAACGGATTTGACCATGATTCCTACAACGTGCTTTTTATACGTTAATGCCTTTTGCTCAGCCCTGCTTGTATACTTGTCCTCTGCCCCCGTTAAGAGTTGGGTATGGGTCGTGCTACTTCTCTCCTTTCCGTTCTGGTTTTCTTTACTCCCTAATTTGGAAACTCTATTGCTGATCTATTTTTCCCTTTAGATTTTACTTGTTGTCGAGTTTTCTCTATCTTGCTTGCCTTGTACATGTCGGTGAAATGCATTGTCACCTGACGAGTATATCGTACTCATTTTTCTTTGCTGTCTTGCCTTTCTTAGGCTGTATTTTCCTTTTCTTTGCACCTATTGTCTCCTCATATATTCTTTCTTTTGTAATGCACATCTAGCTTGTTATTTTGTCACATATTCTGTCACACCACGAAAACCGAAGGCGGAAACATTTCCGGGATTGACTCCACGTTAAGTATCAAATCCAATGCACATTGTAAGTAAAGTAGAACAACCATTACATTACATAATAAAAGTTTTACAGTTGTTTCAAAAGTAAAGTTTGTACAGTTGTGATACATAGTATATATAGACAAAATGAAACGGGTCTTCATGTACGCCGTCTTCAAGCAAAAAGGATCTTCGGGTACCTGTTCTAACGCTGACCTGAGAACACAAGCGGTTTGAAAATCAGCATAAAGCTGGTGAGTTCATAAGCGGTTTTTGTTTGTGAAAATGTTTCGAGTTTCCTTTCTGTTTCTGAAATGTTATGTACAGCATAAAAAATCCCGTATTTTCTTAATAGTTGGTTATTGTTTCACAAATGTAAAGTATAGTAAGTTGTACACCGAAAACATGTCTACTCATATGAAAATGTATAGTTGGTTATCTGACTTGTTAAACTGTTCTGTTTACTTATCATGTGTTACTAGGAAAGTTCCATACTTTCCTTATTATTTGTTACTAATTGTAAAAGATGTAATGTTATCCAGTTTGTTACTCTTGTTGATATGTAAGTATTACCTAGGAAATCCCCGTGCTTTCCTGCATGTTGGTTTCTAATGTAAATGATGTTAAAGATGTAAAAGATGTAATTGTGATTAGGTTCCATGTTTTCCCCCAGGAAAGTCCCGTACTTTCCTGAATGTTAGTTGCAGTATGTGAAAGATGTAAAAGATGTAAAAGATGTATAAAGTGGTTCATTATTACTATAAGTAAATCTCTGTTATCCTAATTGCGAGTTCCATAACCATACAATAGACTAAAACCTGTGGCAATAAGTAGTCCACATGTGGCAATAAGTAGTCCACATACATATGACTTTCGTCACCCTTGAACCATTTCGGTTCGGTTGTAGCTAGCAGCCAGGTGTGGGGTAGTCAGCCCCATATAGATCTATACACTCAAGTCACGCTCTCTAAATACCAGAGATTCTGGTTATGGGTGTAGTCCTCCGCTCGCGTATCTCGGTGGAGTGTTCTTCGAGGACGTGTCTCCAATCATACAGGATTAACAAATTTACTAGTAATAATGTGATAGTCCTCCACTCGCGTATGTGTGTGGAGTGTTACCGAGGACAAAACAGTGTACAGGTATTATGTTCAAATGTTGAACGTCATTCTTTGTCACACCCCGCTAAAGTAGAAACGCAAGGTATGACAGCGATAACAGTTTCAATGCAAAAGATAAAGATACATCACCATAGCAGTATTTAAAAGTTTACAACCCATAGCTTCAAAAGAAACAAAATACAAGTTTTTCTAAATAACATTGTTCAAAATATAGCTTCATAATAGCTTCAACACGATGCAGCATGCTCTATGATGATGAATCTTTACATCCACTTACTAATTACTTCCTGAAAAAGCATGTAAAACGAGCGTCAACTATGAAAATAGTTGGTGAGTATCACAAGTTTATAAAAATCGAGCGTACAATAAGGCTTTTCGTAAATACAAGTACATTGCTTCAATGATAAACAAGTTGATTGCTATTAATGAATACAAGTTTATTGCTATAACGAGAAACAAGTTTGTATGTGTATGAGCAAACAATGAGTCTCAACCAAACCTATGACTGAAGCCCTATCGAGATCTATGCTTATCGTTCCATAGATGAATATGGTATCATGCACTCCAGCGATTCGGGCGAGTGAGGAGTTGTCAATTCCTAATAGCGCTATCCATAACGACCATTGGCTCAAAGAGTTAATGGTTAGAGATAAGGGAAGGGCCTTAGTACGATAAGTTCTCATGTTCCGTGTTGCATAGACACACATAAAGAAACATAGCAATACAATAGCAATCATGTTTGATATAATTCAATTTAAATACAACATGCAAACAGTAGTTTTTCTGGACATGCTTTCCACCCCAAAACATAAAAACTGAAAATAGGGGAGTACGTGAATACTCACGATGTTTTGTGTAGACACAAGCGGTACTTCGGGATGCACCAACGTCTTACTACCGGGATCCTACAACATCAAACACACGCACTAGTGAGTTTCCATGTCGATATCTAATGCTAATATACTAAACTCTACGTATAGGGAAATGCCAATTTATGTTTTAGTATTGGATTTTGTATCAATTAGTTACACTTTTTTTGAAGTAATGAAATTCTATATATCGGGCGATTAATTACAACCTTGGAATATAAACTTTCCAAATTTTTAAGTCCTTATTACAACATAAATTCACGAAAATAGCATTCGAGGGATAAAAATTCTCATACTTTTTATTTAACTGTTATTACACAATACTAAGCTGGGAAAATTATAAAAATGGATTTTCAAACTGTTTAATTATATTTTATGATTTTTGAGCATTTATTTCAATAAAAATTGATATAAATAGAAAACAGTTTCCAAAATTACCCAAACTTTTTATTTAATTGTTATTATAGATAAATAGGCTGGGAAAAATATAAAAGATATTTTTCAGTGGGTATTTCTATTTTTCCTTACTTTATTCCTTTAAATAGTCATTAATTAAAGAAATAATATTAAACAGTTAAAATAAATCACCATAAATTTTTGTAACATCATTTACAGTATAAATATCCTGGGAAAAATATCAAAAGTGATTTTCATAATGTATAAACTGGTTTTGGGTATTTATGTATATTTAAGTGTATTTTAGTGCAATTAACTTTAGAAAATAAGAGAAAAATAGTTACCAGTAGAGAAAAATATTCAAAATTTTTATGTAACCTCCTACTCTACAATATTATATCCTGGTAAATTTTCATGAATTTTGGATAATCAGAACTATTTCTCCCATTTTTAGACCATTATAATTACCAAAAATTGGGAAAAATAGTAAAACATGATGGAAAATCTTGAAATTATTTTCTGGAGTCACCCATCACAGGTAAGGTATGAGAAAATTGTTAGATACAATTTTCACATCCTATAAAGTGGTTTTGTAGTTTATCATGTCCTAAATAAAAGAAAATTAGAAATCATATGAAACAGTAACAAAAATTGCTGAAATTTGGTGAAAGGGTCATTATTCCCCATAAGGATCATCCATGAATTTATTTAGGATTTATTGACCTCTGGAAGTATTTTATATGATTTATGCCCTTGGTTTTAGCAATAATTCTAATAAATCAAAGAAATAACAAAAGCTCTTGAAATTTTCCAGATTATCTCATGCATGCAAGGGCTTTCAAAAGGAAAAATGTAAAAAAAAATGTATTCAGAAGAGAAATGAGGGTAATGATTTCAAACAATTTAAGAAAGTTGCATGCAATAATGCATGAAGTGTAAATGTGGCTGAGGTTCATGAATTTGTGTAGCCCATTCAGTGAGGTTTTAAGCCACGAAATTTCAACCATAATTCACTAGATATGTTAAGTTTCTAAGGTATTTTTCCTCAGATTTATGGTTGGGTTTAAGGCCATTGTTTAAGCAAGATAAAAATAGTGATCACAGAAAAGAGCTGTATGCGCAACCTTTTTGTAAAATCTGCTAAAAATCGGATATTTAATATTTTACAGTGAGACCAGTTGGGTTTGAAATTTAACTCGTGGAACTAACCAATAGAAAAAAAATATCATGATTTGGTTAAGAAATGACTGAGTTATGACTGTTCAAAGTCGAACAAAGTAATCTGGCAGATTGCATGTTTGCTTGTGTGCATTATTAGGGTATTTCAACAAGAACATCATGCATGTCTTTGGTAAGGCCCGATTTCTAACACATGCATGGAATGAATGAGCATCCAAGATGTACTAGAAATGGTTTAAATGCTTTTTTTCATGCATGAACACAAAAGAAATGGAGAAGAACATGAAATATTAGGTTTTGATGTCACATGATCATATGTGCATCTTTTCCACTCCTTGCATGGGTTTGATCCCGGATTTTCACCATATCTAACACATGCATT